TTTTTTTTTTTTTTTTTTTTAATATTACAAACAACTTTCAATCACAACCGTTCATCTCAAAAACAAGCTTTTTATATCATTTTCAGGCATGGAGTATTCCAGCTGCTAAGCGCGTGGGCCGACGGTCCGGAAAATGTAACCCAATGTCCGATACGGCCAGGTGGAAACTACACGTACAGATTCAATATCAAAGGACAAGAAGGAACTTTATGGTGGCATGCCCACTCGTCTTGGCTACGCGCCACCGTCCACGGCGCTCTTCTCATCCGCCCCAAGTCCGGCCTACCGCTGCCGTACCAAAAGCCCTACAAAAAGGTTCCAATATTGTTGGGTGAGTGGTGGAATGCCAACGTTGTCCACGTTGAAGAGGAAGGCCTCGCCGCCGGCCGCGGTCCTAATGGCTCCGACGCCTACACCATTAATGGACTCCCCGGAAACCTCTACCCTTGCCCCCAAAACCAAACTTACCAACTCAAAATGGCGCGTGGGAAGACTTCCTTGCTTCAAGTAGTCAACGCTGCACTCAATAATCAACTCTTTTTCAAGTTGGCCAATCACAATTTGACAGTTGTCGCCGTCGACGCCACCTACACCGTCCCTTACGTCACTGACGTAATCGTCCTCGCTCCCGGCCAAACTACCGACGTCCTCGTCAACGCTGACCAGCCCCTAGGCTCGTACTACATGGCGGCGCGTCCCTACGCTGATACACGACCGCAAATAGCCTTTCCAAACACTATCACACGCGCCATCGTTATCTACGACGGTGCCCCAACGAATTCCACTCCAATCATGCCACTCCTACCAGCCTTCAACGACACCCCCACAGCTCACAAATTCTACACCAACCTCACCGCCCTCGTCGGTGCCCGCCACTGGGACCCAGCCCCCCGCCACGTGGACCATCACATGTTCGTCACGTTTCGTCTGAACCTAGCTCCGTGTGGGACACCCAATGGCTGCGGCGGACCGAATGGGCAGCGGCTGTCGGCGAGTATGACAACGTGTCGTTCGTGATCCCAAACGACGCCGGATTGTCTATGTTGGAGGCATTTTTTCACAAGGTGGAAGGTGTTTATACCGGAGATTTCCCCGACCTGCCGCCGGTGGAATTTGATTACACGAATTCGAGTATAAGATTGGATAATTCGTTGATTTTCGCGGCGAAGGCCACGTCGGTGAAGAAATTGAAATTCAATTCGACGGTGGAGATTGTTCTGCAGAACACGGCGTTCATCGCGAAGGAGAATCACCCACTGCACCTCCATGGATTCAACTTCCATGTTTTGGCGCAAGGCTTCGGGAATTACGACCCGATCCATGACCCGGAAAAGTTCAATTTTCTCAACCCTCAGATCCGTAACACCATTGCCGTCCCCATCGGCGGCTGGCCTGTCATCCGATTCCAAGCCAACAATCCAGGTAACTATATCATTGTTCTCTTTTTTTCACTTTTATTATTTAATTCAAATTAAGGTTTAGGATTTAAGGATATTTATAAAACCTTAAACTAACTGTCACTTATCTAACGGTTTTGAATGTATTGAATGTACAGGTGTATGGTTGATGCACTGCCACCTGGACGTTCACTTACCGTGGGGATTAGCCATGGGTTTTGAAGTCGCAAATGGACCAACTCCGTCGACGAGGCTGCCTCCACCGCCGCATGATCTCCCCAAATGCTTGGAAAATCGTCTACATTAAATTTCTCGAAAATTAAGTATAATATCTTATGGTTGTTATTTTATGATTGAAAATAATTTGTTATATTATATAAATGTGGTGTCAAGGCACGCAAGAATTCCCCTACCCATGTTATTATAAAAAACCACTTATTTATATGATATTGTCCACTTTAAGCATAAGTTATCATAGCTTTGCTTTGAAATTTTCCAAAATGCTTCGTACCAATGGAGAGGGTATTTCTTGATTATAAACCCACGATCATTCCCTAAATTAGCCGACGTGGGACTTTCATCATCCAACCGAGATGATGTTACTTATAATCTGTCATCTTTCTTTTAATTATTCAATAATAAATTATCCTAAAGAAGTTCTAGAGCCTAAAACACTAAAAATCGCTTCATAATGGGGTTGATAGGTTAATCCAAGGACAATCTCAAATGTAAAATGGCGAGAAATCCAACCCAACCACAGTTGACAAATAATGTTACAAAATTGGTCTCAAAATGTTCGATATATAACCATAAATAAGTAAATCTCGAAACATAATTTAGACATGAGTCTACTGTTATGGGTAATTTTTTTATCTGAGTCCCGAATTCTTAATAAATCCGATTCTCTAGAGGCTATTTGACTCAATTTTAAAATATTTTGTTGATTAATATGGATGACTTCATGATGTTAACTACATCTTTGGTTTTGATTTTGACCGTTCTTCTTATCAGCCTACCATCCCATCCATTGACTTCTTTGATATCATTTTTTTTTCAAAATTTGACCAATGATATTTTAAACCCAATTTCCAAATGGTTTTTGTTTCTCTTTTGAATTAAAAAAATTAATTTGTAGAATTTTCTTTACTTAAAAAAACTATTTTGGAAGAGAGTTCGGTTAGATAAGGGAGAGATTTCCACATGGTCGTTCTCTGAAATGGAATGACTTTGATTATCGATTCATTAGTAAAAAACCTTCGCCAACTTTTGAATTGGTGGAACAAGAACTTTACGTAAGAGTCGAAGCCCCAAAAGGGGAATCGGGCATTTTTTTGATAGGCGATCAGAGTGGTTTTTCTTGGAGATGGAAAATTCGCCCGGTTTTATCAATTTGCAAATTCTTCCTCAATTAATTAAAAGAATGAAATTGGCTGATATTATGACAATACTAATCTTCTCAAACTAATTTGGGATCTCACAATCTACTCACCTTGGGAGCCTAATGTCCTCACTAGCACATCGCCTCAGTATGAGCCCACTGCTAGTGAATATTATCCGCTCTGTCCTGGTAGCCGCCAGCCTCATGATTTTTAAAACGCGTCTACTAGGGAGAGGTTTCCACATTCTGATAAGGAATGCTTCGTTCCCCTCTCTAACCGATGTGAGATCTCATAATCCACTCCTTTGGGGGCACAACGTTCTCACTGGCACACCGCTTGGTGTTTGGATTTGATACCATTTGTAACAACTCAAGCTCACCATTAGCAGATATTGTCCGTTTTGACCTGTTACATACTGCCATTAATCTCACGACTTTTAAAATGTGTCTAGTAAGGAGAAGTTTCTACACTCTTCTAACAAATATTTTGTTCCTCTCTCCAACCGATAAGACCTTTAATGAATACGTACCAAACTTCTTTGAAAAAAAAAATGGGAAGTAAAAACAAATAACAAGAAAACATGTGGTCAAAATTGAAGACAAAAAATTCAAGAGTACAATTACCTAATCATGATGAACACTCCATTCCATAAGTTCCAAAAAGTCCTTTTACTTCATCACATGATTAAATTTCACAAGTTATCAAAGTTTGGCACAATTTCATCCATCCAAAACAACTATTTCAACACGACTCAACTAAATTTATGAACTTTCTCGAGTCAGAAGAATTTAATCTTCTAATCTCTCAATCTGCTATAGTCAGTCGAGTTATATTCAGATTACAAAAGATAGACATATCAATTTCTTGAATATCGAAAAAAAAAATTTATTTTTCGAGATATTGAAATGAAAAGTAATTAAAACACACTAGATTTGGTTTAGAAGTGAAATGGAGGAAAGCAAATGGATTAGTATTAGGAGGGACAAGTTAGAGATGTGAAAATGGCGGCTGTTTTGAATCCTTAAAAACCACGAATTTCTTACATTGTAACGTACTAGGTTTAACGAAATTTCAGAGTTGATTAAAATTTTGAAAATTTCTAAAACCATTGGCCCAATTTAAACTCATTTTCTCCTCACCTAATCTCTATAAATATGTGTATTTTCCTCTCTAATTCTCATAATATTTTCTCTTTATTTTAATTCAATTCTTTACTCATGGCTTCTTCTTCTTTGCCTCTTCTTCTTCTCCTTCTTCTGGCTTCTTCTTCAATGGCTTCTGCTGCCATTGTTGAACATTCTTTCACTGTAAGCATCTCTCTCTTTCGTTCCTGATTTAGTTTTAATTTATGTTTGATCTATGTGTTTTTTATTTTTTTCAAAATTAATATATTTTTTTTAATTGTAAGTAAGATTTATGAGATTCTCTATTGAATTTTTTCACAAATATATTAAAAACAACATTCTTGTACTAAAAAAATAATCATAATAAATTCGATAATATTTTATTTAGTAAGATATAATACAAATTTCAAACTATTTTATAAAAATTTAAATTCTAATATTAAAGCATAATTTTAACCTTTAATATATATATATAATAAGACGGTTTTATGTCTTAGTTTTAATATATAATACATAAATATACTTATATTTATATATGTGGAATGAAGCGTGACATATTAGAGTGGGATCGGAGAATGTAATTTCCATCCTAAATCTTGTTTAGATAACGGAAAGAAATTTTCTCGCGTTCTCTCCATTCTTTAAATTAAATTTTAACTTTACAAATTAAATAGATTGTAAGAAATTATTATTATTACTTTTTGGAAGACCATATAAAATTTTCATATTTTTTTCTATTTTATTTTCTTCTCTCTTGATTTAAGACAGTTGCTTCTCTCCCTCTGCATGTAGGTACAAGACATGACCGTCCGGCGGCTCTGCCGTGACCAAGAGATAACGGCAGTCAACAGTGAATATCCCGGTCCGACCATTCACGCTCACGACGGCGATGTCCTTGTCGTCCATGTATCCAACAAGTCCCCCTACGATTTAACCATTCACTGGTAAATAATAATAATTACTCGAACCCCAAATTACTAAATATATTACATATTTGATGATGGACTAAAATTATTTAATAATAAATCATAGCTTACTATATATATTATATTTCATATTTTATTATAAAATAAATGTCCACACATTTGTCTTTTTACTCTATTATCTTTTTATTTATTACTATTTTCATATTCTTGTAATTTATTTATTTATAGGCATGGAATATTCCAGCTTCTAAGCGCATGGGCGGACGGCCCGGAAAATGTAACGCAATGTCCAATACGTCCGGGTGGAAACTACACATACAAATTCAAAATCAAAGAACAAGAAGGAACTTTATGGTGGCACGCCCACTCGTCCTGGCTACGCGCCACCGTCCACGGCGCCCTTCTTATCCGCCCCAAGAACGGTAGGCCATTGCCGTACCCAAAGCCATACAAGAAGATTCCAATATTGTTGGGTGAGTGGTGGAATGCCAACGTCGTCCACGTGGAAGAGGAAGGCCTCGCCACCGGCTCCGGTCCTAACATCTCCGACGCCTACACCATTAATGGACTCCCCGGAAACCTCTACCCTTGCTCCCAAAACCAGACTTATACTCTCAAAATGGCGCGTGGGAAAACATACTTGCTTCAAGTAATCAACGCTGCACTCAATAACCAATTCTTCTTCAAGTTAGCCAATCACAATTTGACAGTTGTCGCCGTTGACGCCGTCTACACAGACCCTTACGTCACGGACGTCATCGTCCTTGCTCCCGGTCAAACCACCGATGTCCTCGTCAAAGCCGACCAGCCTCCACGCTCCTACTACATGGCGGCGCGTCCCTACGCCGACGCACGACCACCAATAGACTTCTCAGACACAATCACACGTGCCATTGTCGTGTACGACGGCGCGTCCCCCTCCGCTGCTCCACTTATGCCGACTCTACCGTCATTCAACGACACCCCAACAGCTCACAAATTCTACACTAACATCACTTCCCTTGTCGGGGCCCGCCACTGGGTCCCAGTCCCACGCCACGTGGACCATCACATGTTCGTCACGTTTGGTCTAAACCTAGCTCCATGCGGGTTACCCAATGGCACCGCGTGCGGCGGACCGAATGGGCAGCGGCTGTCGGCGAGTATGAATAACGTGTCGTTTGTGATCCCAAACGACGCCGGATTGTCAATGCTGGAGGCGTATTTTCACAAAGTGAAGGGCGTTTATAGTACGGATTTTCCCGACCAGCCGCCGGTGGAATTTGATTACACGAATTCGAGTATAAGATTGGATAATTCGTTGATCTTCGCGCCGAAGGCCACGTCAGTGAAGAAATTGAAATTCAATTCAACGGTGGAGATGGTTTTGCAGAACACTGCTTTTGTTTCACTGGAAAATCACCCAATGCATCTCCATGGATTCAACTTCCATGTTCTAGCGCAAGGCTTTGGAAATTACGACCCGATCCATGACCCGAAAAAATTCAATTTCCTTAACCCTCAGATCCGTAACACCATTGCCGTCCCCGTCGCCGGGTGGGCCGTCATCCGGTTCCAAGCCAACAATCCAGGTCCGTATCTTTTCAAATCATGTTAGGGTGCAAATATTTCCAAACTGTTATTTTAACGGTTTTGTACAGGTGTATGGCTGATGCATTGCCACCTGGACGTCCACGTACCCTGGGGATTGGCTATGGGATTTGAAGTGGAGAATGGTCCTACTCCGTCGACGTGGCTGCCTCCGCCGCCGCACGATCTTCCCAAATGCTAGATGAACGGTCTGCAAAGCTCCTCCAAATTAGAAGAAAATTTATTGCTGTATTTTATGTTTAATTATTTTTATGTCTGAAAATAAATTACCCAGGTTATTATAATTGTTTTATTTTAC